ATCTGTTGAAAACATCAATTCACATGTTTTGATGTATTTTTTCAAAACAGAACTCATTTAAACCACCTGCCTACAGAACTAGAAGCTATCTGGTTGTGATACACTGCCAAGAGTACAATAATAGGCAGGCGACAATTAAAGTGGATGGTACATTCAGCTAGTGTTAATTCTGAAAGGGATTTCAGATCATGATTGATTTCTTTATGATGCAGATAAATAAAAAATGCACAGTATTCATTGCAATTTGATACAGTCTGATGTATTGAGAAATGGCTGTTCACTTCTTTTTTGAAATACTGTCAACTGCTATGTACTAAAATGTTTTAAATGAGATGTTCCCATGTTTCTTGAAAATATAAAAGCATAATCTAAGAGCAAAGGAAGTATTAAAACAAATGTTTTCATTCTGAAGTTCAAGTTACAATTAGCTAGATGATTATTATAATTATTTGATCCTCACATTGTAGGTATGGAAATTGGTTTAGCAAGCACATAAGGACATGGGTGGCCTATCCAGTAGTAAAAAAGATATAAAGATATCATTACATTCCCACATAACAGTCTCATGCAGTGACATTGAGGCTGACATTTGGCTCATGGCAGCACGGATGCAACTTGAGCCATGGGACCCAAGGAACCTCAGTCCAAATCCTGTTTAGTGATTATTATGCATGATTGGCAATGTCCAATACAAGAAGACATAACAAATAAGTTAAACTGTTTTGTAGTTTTGGTTGGTCATGTATGTAAGACCCCATTCCTATAGACACACCATCAGTCCATGTGGTTCAACCCAGCTCTGTGAGGACTCTCGCTAAGTCCAATCAGCTGAACAGATTGATTTGCCTCCTCTTGTTTCCAACATACCAGTACTCATAATAGTCACTAGCTTTCTGTATTCTTAACACCAGAAAATGTACTAATCTTTTAAGCTGATTGCACTTAGCAAAAATCCCAGCAGAGTTGGGTATATCAAGGTAGACCTTTGTTTTTATGTGAATTGGGCCTTAGAAAACTGGATGTATGTTGTTCAAGGTATCAGGACACACACACACACACACACCCCTCCTGTAATCAATATCATACTGAAAATAAAAATGCAACACTGAGACAAACTTTAAATGCCTGCCTTCAATCAAAATGTATCTCAAGCTAGAGGTGGGATAAACGGATAATGTCACCCATCCAGGTATCCCTTTAATGAACTAACTGCCACATTTTGTTTTGCCACTACACTGTGAAGGGGTGAGGTTGTCCAGGAGAGATTGTCCTTGAATCTTTCAAATATCAAGGTGTCAGGTTCCTATTTATTTAGAAATAGAAATATTTTGGAATTCTTTTAGAGAAAAAAAATTTTAATTTTTTA